AAAAAATGAAAAAATTTCGATAGAATAGTGATTTAAAATAATATTATGAGTGTTTGGTGGAGAGAAATTGAATATAACCTTCATTAGTTTAATTGAAGAGATAAAATAAGAAAGAAATTTCAAGTTTGTGAGAGTTTTACGTGAACAAATATCAAGAAAACAAAGCATAATTTTAAAAATCATAAACTGTCATGTTATCCATTTAATTAATGTCTTAATCCACGATAGTGTTAGAAATTATCACGAATTAAGTTAATATCAGTTTTTTAACTGTCATGGAAGGCCAATTTTATACCATACTCTTAAGCTCGATTGCTAGCGAGTTCACAATTATAAAGTTACTGGTATGTTTTATAGAGGGAATTTTTGGGTAAAATATATTGTTTATATAAGCTGTTAAGTACACATACTAGCCAACAAATTATAATAATGCAACTGGTTACATAAAATTTCACATATCGAAAGTGTAAATAAAATTATAAACTTTGTATATGTTAAAAACACATAAAACTAATACTGAATTAGAAGATAAATACAGAAGCTGATATGGCTGTAACTGATAAAAAAGATAGCAGAACAATAGCCAAGAGGCAGAAGTTAAATGAAGTCCAAAAAGTGATTGAAAAAGTAGTTGTTGGCACACTTGAAAGACGATGTCCTAAAGATCACAAATATTCGCTTTGCATAAGTTAATATCAAAATATAATGATCATCTTAGTGGGATGCAAAATGACCAACTTTGATTGAACACAAACTCGAACAACTTCGATCTAACAAAATTGTTAGACACTTAAATCGCAATTAAACATGAACAAAGAAGAGAGAATTCTAGTGKGAAGAGGAGAAATTTGAATTTTGAGTACTTGRATATTTAAAATGCCTCAAATAAAGAGATTCAACACCTATACATGGTTTCACAGATTTGTAACTTATCACACACAAGCAATCGAAACAAAAAATGGCTGTTATAGTAATTTCAATATTTATGGATATGTATTATTTAATCAATTCAGACMGAACATAAAGAGTCATTCAAAAGAAATATTCATAAATAATACAACTTCAGACATAAATATAAGATCGTTTACAAAATATGTGAATAAATACGACTGTTTCAGAATTAAAAAGAGTTTAAATACTCAAAATTAAAATCAAAATATAGTCGTCGTGACTYTCATTTAAGTTTGGCTACCATTTTGAAAATCAAAAAAAGAGAATTAACCCTATGATGGAAGAGCCACTACGAGCTTAACTCAATAGTAACTGACACATGTCTCTAATTAAGAAAATATGAGTTCGAATTCCCACGTCCCCATTTATTGTACTACAAAGAAATCGAATACAACATATATGGATCTGACATGAAAAGATGCAACTTAGAGAAGATCAGATACATACCATTTATTTCAAYAGTGACTAAATTAATCTTCTTCATAGAAATAATTACCAAAGAAACTAAATTATGATTTATCTGATAATTAATTGAATAGAATATGTAGAAAACAGATAACGAAACTCAATTAACTAAGACATGTRATTCTAACTAGTCATGTTCGAACTCCTTCTTTCTCACATATTGTTCTTCTTTCTCACATATTGTTGCACTTTTGAAAAACAAAAACAACAATTAAAATCAAATACACAAACTTTAAAACTTCATTTATTGATCCCTTCACTAAATACCATACCTTTTTAAGTCTGCCTATTAATTTATTTCCCACATGAATTACTCACTCAAGTTATTTACTAGTCCTTTCTCAAAGATTAGTAAAGCTTCAAATAATCCATTCATCAGAAGTGGGAAGTCCTAATGATAGGTAAGTAATAAATCGTTAAAATAAAGAGATTTAATCCTATGAACCAGATGTATCTATGAAATTTAAAAAGTGTTATTAATAAATATTCAATTTAATAGATCAATAAACTTTAAAAACCGTTTAATAGATTCTTAAACTTTCAATTTTATCCTTCTATGCATCCTTCCACGAAAAAAATCAAAACTCTATTTTCTCCATAAATGGAAAAGAAAGAAAGAAAAAGAAAAGTCTATTGAAGTATAAAAACATTAAAGCTGGGTGGGTCCATAAATAGGACATAATATATATATTTCTTTGAAAATAGGACATAATATTCATTCCACTTGTATCTTTTTTGTATAATCATTTATTCACTTGTATGGTTGTCGATCCATCGACTTGTTCCATTCACCAATGAACAAAGCTACCCGACTTGTCGGCCAAGAGGCCCAACCATCGCCGCCCAAACTCAAGCACATCCATTTTTCTCCATTTTTTGTTTCTATGGTCTACAAAAATGGCTCCTTCTTCTTCTTTCTCTTCTTCTTCTGCATGAAATATATGAAAAATGTGCCTTTTCAAAGCTATTTGTTCAGATATAAAACACTGTTTGTTGATTTGCAGCAGCAAAAACTTGACCCCTATGGATTTTGATTTCTCTCTCAATGCAAAAGTACTTTCACAAATATTGATTCAAAGTGAAAAACATTTATTTCGTTGGCACTTTTGAAGAAGACTAATTAAGATCCGTTTGACAACGGTTTTGTTTTTGGTTTTCTAGCTTTAAAAATTAAGTTAGTAGATACTATTTTATATTTCTTTCTTTTACTGCCTACTTAAAAAAAATGTTTCCAAAATCTAAGCCATTTTTTTAAAATCAAAAAATTAGATTTTGTTTATGAAATTTAGTTAAGATCAATTTAGATGTGTTTTAGAAAAAAAATATGAAAACATTAGCAAAAAACATAGTTTCTAAAAGTAGGGCTCTTTTAATTTTTGTCTGGTTTCTTATAGGTAACTATTTTTGTTTCTTGTTACTCATTTCTTATTTTTAAGAAATGTTTCTAAAATTGTGTTCCAATTTCCTTTTTTTGTTTCCAATTTTTCCATCAATAAAAGTGTTATTTTATCATTTTTTAATCTTTAAAATGCATAATATATATCGAAAAATAAATAATTATAAATTGGCATAAGTTTTTTTAATATAACATAGACAAAAAAAATTTACAAAATATGTCTCCACATATTTTTCAATAAAAAAGAGGAAAAAAAAGAAACAAGAAACCGAGAGTCCGAAATTAGTGGTTATGGAAACAAGACCTGATTAATCTATCAAGACACTCTCTTGATCTATTTTTAGAATTTCTCAAACTACTTTTAGTTATCAAAATTAAGAAAAGAAAAAAAAAGTGTTTTTAATTTGTTAAAAACTTTTTTTAAATTTTAACCAAACACTCAATTTAAAAAGAAACACTTTTAATTATGTATAAATAAGCACTCTTAAAACGCATGTTAAACACATTTGGATGGTTAATATAATCTAATTAATTATGTATCTTTGAAGGCATTTAAAACAATTTTTAGAAATAGTATCAATTGAGATGTCTGTGTAGTCTAGATATCATATCTAGGTTTTTGAATCAAAAGTACTACTTGAAACTGTTCAATGAAAAGACCACTAGTGTTTGGACTAGGATTCTGTTTTTATTATCAAGATTTTGTTCATTTAAATCCTTGTTGTAGTCGATACAACGGAAGAAGGTTTTTTTTAGTACAACAGATCAGGTACAGGAGTTTGAACATTCGACTTCATGAGAATAAGTAGATTCTAATTTCGATTGAGCTATGGTCAGTTGGTAATTGAAGAATGTTTTTAGTTTAACAAGTCTAGATAAAATAATACATCTAAACATGATGAAGCGGGTTATTTCTTGCTACGTTGATCAAATGTTGTAAAAGTGATCTTCTAGTGTATGGTTGAATGAGACATTTTGGCCATAATCGATTATTATATATTAACTTTATGTGTCTAATCGCAATGTCAACATATTGGTTCGGAGTCATATTTAGCTAGGTTGAACGAATTTTTGGATCCGAATAGCCATGTTTAATTCTAGTTATATCGGTACCATGTTAAAGAATATTCCATTGAACAAAATGAAGGTGTAATATGATTGCTATTAACATGAAGAATGACCTTTTTTAAGGGCTTGCTTTGTTTTTCAATTGAGAACTACTATTGACTTTTGGGTGAGTTGTGGTCCAGGATTCTACCATATCCAAGGATGTAGATGGCTAATCATTATTTATCAAATTTACAAGAAAATTATTCTAGTTCTCACTACGATGCCAACAATTTCTACTATTTTACGTAATGCGAAAGAAATTAGAAAATAAATCTTGTACATATGTATCTAAATGTTGGTATTGTTAAGAGTAAAATTAAGGTAGGCCAAAGAAGTAACATGGGTTCGGGACACCCAAATTAAACTGCCTGACTAAACTAGACCCGATCAGAACTGGAGTACATACTTAGTCTAACCTGATCAGGTTAAACCACCTCACTAGACCCAGACCAAACTTGACCCCGTCAGGTTGGACTATCCGACCACACTAAACCTAGGTCAGCTAGATTGGGCCCTCCAATCGAGCCGATTGGACTTGGTTGAACCAGTCCACCCCGAACCAAACCCAAAAAAACTCATAAAATAAGAGAGACTTGAGGTGTGAAATACTTTATGCAATCCTACTTTTTTGCTAGTGTCAACTGAACTCTTAACTAATTTAGGTAGTAGTGCCAATTGGAGCCGTCGACAAGTGTTAAAATAATAATAATAAAGTTTCTGAAACTTTCTGTAATACTAACATGCATCAGTATAGGTATTCCAACGAGTTTCTTCTCTCTGTTTCAGTCTCTTTTTCTTACCCTTTTCCAACCCAACAAGTTTTCTGTTGATAAACAGAAAAAACCAATTCCATCACAAATAAAAAATAAAATAAAAAAAACCCATAAAATTTGGACTTTTTTTAGGGGGTTAATTTTCCTACATATTTTATGTCCCAATTGCATAATAATTGCCTCTAAGTCCAAATCCTCCCATCAACCAAATTCATCACCATTTTTTCTCTCCTGTGGGTCCTCTAATCTCCCTATTTATACCAAATCCCTTCACTTTTTTTTCCATAGAATTCCTCAAAAAATTAACAACATTTTTCTCTCTTCCCCTTTCTGATTCGCTCTAAAAATGTCTCGTCTTCTTGTTCTTCTCTCTCTCCCAATTCTCTTCCTCTCTCTAAGCTCTTGCCAGAACCCCCCCTCCCCTGGCTACCACCCAAGCAACCAAATTCAGACCATTGGGTTCGATCAGGGCTTTAGAAATCTCTGGGGCTCTCAGCACCAGAGACTTGACCATGGCGCGTTAACCATTTGGCTTGACGCTACGTCGGGTATACTAGATAAAACTTTAAAATCTTTACTTTTTAATATGATTTTTTTTCTTTCTTTAAATTTTAAGTGAACTCACTCTCTTATGAACCTGATAATTAAAACAATTTGGTTTGTAAAATAGGTAGTGGGTTCAAATCCCTCCGTCGATACCAATCTGGCTACTTTGGAGCTGCCATTAAGCTTCATCCTGGCTACACTGCTGGAGTTATCACTTCTCTTTATGTAAGCATTACTTATTCGATTTTGATATGAATAAATAATTTCAGCTCATCCTGACTACACTGCTGGAGTTATCATTTCTCTTTATGTAAGCATTACTTATTCGATTTTGATATGAATAAATAATTAAATCTACGGTCTTCATATCATAACAGGAGATTATATGTTTAAAGTTCAACGATGTGTTTCGATTAAGTTTGGTTGATGGGCTAATTTTTAAGTTCATTAGTGAGAGTTTAGCGGTGATTTAATTGTTTTTTCTCTTCTTTATTTGGGTTTTGTAGCTTTCGAACAATGAAGATTTCCCGGGGTACCATGACGAGATCGATATCGAGTTCCTCGGGACGACGTCGGACAAGCCATATATTCTGCAGACAAATGTGTACATGAGAGGGAGTGGAGATGGAAATATCATAGGAAGGGAAATGAGGTTCCATCTCTGGTTTGACCCAACTCAAGATTTCCACAACTATGCCATTTCGTGGACTCCAAGAGAAATTATGTAAGCCTAGGAAGTTAAACTAAATTGTTACTTCAATAAAAATACAGAGACTAAATATAATTTTTTTAACTCGTTCATTTTGTCTATATGTTGTATAGATTCTTCGTGGACGACATACCGATAAGGAGGTATGAGAGGAAGA